TGCTGCTGCTGCTGCTGAGTGTGTGCTGTCGAGCGTTTGAGCTGCAGGACACCATCCACGCTCTGATCGAGGAGAACATCCACCTCCACGACCAGCTGGAGAACCTGACGAGAGCCCTGCGAGAGCTGCGGCAGCTCCTGTCCCAGCACAGCGACGGTACGGGACCCTTTCAAGTGTTTCTCTCTTAACGCTTCATTTATTACTCTAACAGTCTTCTGAACCTCTTGGAAGTGCAGAGTGATTAAAAAGTTGTTTTTGATGTGTTTTACTCCAGATCACACTCATGAGCATGATGAGGAACTTCAGCATCTCTGGGAGGAATGGTCACAACACAGTGAGTTTCAGTCTCATTCGTGTTATTAAATGCTTTTAATAACCTGGAAAAAAAAATCTTATTTTTATTTTTGAGCGTTTTGGCCCTCTTTATGTCCCTCTGCTCTGTATATTGACTGATTGTGTAACGATGGAAACAGGACACTGTTCATCAATAATGGCACGTGTACTTCCTGTGTGACCATATAATATCATTGACTGACAGAGCCCAGAGGAATGGGGTTCACAAACGTGCAGGCATTAAATTGAGCAAAAGTGACAGTAAAGACAGTTATAATGTTACGAAAGATTTCTATTTCAAATAAATGATGTTCTTTTGAACTTGAAATTAATCCGTTTCCAACAAAATATGAGGCAGCACAACTGTTTTCAACATTGATAAGAAGAAGAATTATTTATTATCATTATTAATTAGAAGATTATCATTTACTGCATGTTATTTTAAGACTGAGTTGATGCTGTTTCTGCTGTTGCAGATTATATTTTAAAGCAATTGTAATTCATTAAGTTGTGTAATATTTTATGTAATAATAAATATCTGTGATCAAGTTGATACAGTTGAGACGAGAAGATTTAGGATGATCAAAATTGCAGTGTAAGAGATCTAACGCTTTTAAAGACGACATGAAACGGCCCTGTTCACATCAGTAATGTGATGCCTATGAACATAAAATCATAAAACATAAAAATGTTATGTAATGTTAATTTGTGTTAAAGTTTTATACTGGTCTCATACACCCCTGTTATCAATTATCAGTATTTTAATATTATTTATACTAGTATTATTAATATTTTGAATTAGCTTGAATTTTTTTTAGATTTAGTTTTAATTTTCAGTTGTTTTAGTGATTTTATGTTTTTTGTAATTTATATTTTTATCTCTCTCTCTCTCTGTATATATATATATATATACACATACACACACACACACACAGCAAATTTAGTAATTGTAGTTAGTTTTAGTAATTTTAGTAGTTAAACTTATTTCAGTTCAGTTGCAGAGGTAATAAAATGCTTTTTCAGCTTTAATTCAATGACTTAACAGGTTTCCAGTTTACATAATAACATTGTCAGCTGAGCAGTAATTGGTTGATTGAAATGTGTCTTGTAGGCATCACACCTGCTGTTGGAACATGCTCTCTGTGGACACGAGCTCAATGGCTCCGCCCCCTCCAGTTAAGGACACGCCCCATTTATCATCATGGCTTTTGTAGTTCTTGCACACTTTCTTTTATAAAGTGCATATGCAGAACTACAGCGTGAGTGAGTCTATTCAAATACATTTGACATCATTCAGAGCAGGTACGGATCAACACTGTCTGTCAATCTTGAAGTTTGTTATTGAGAAAAGAAAGAAAGGAGGATAGTACAGAGTAGTTTATCAGGTGATAGTTTGAGGCCAGTGTGTGTGTGTTTGTTTTTTCACCCTAGAACATTCTACATTCTTGCCAAATAGTACTTCAAATAATAAAAACAATAAACTTGAAAATATAATGGGCTTATATTTTTACAGACTTTTTTTTTTTTTTTAGAGTGTACTGTATTTGTAAGCACTTAATATGTGCCAGTAAAGTGGGTGAAACCGTCATCAGGTTAAATACCACTCATTTATTTGGATGTAGAACCAGGTCATAGATGTTTTTAATGCGACTCATTTTAAATTCAAATTGCTGCAGTTGCAACACATTGTTTTTTTTGAAGTTTTAGTATGTTTTAGAGATCTTGTCAGTGCCTGACTGTCTCTATAGTATTAGTATTAAACAATTCAACAAGCAATCACTGTAAATCAAGTCTAAAATACAAAATAAAGGTTTGTATTGAACCTTTTCGGTAATGTTGCATGTTTTTAATAAATGGACAAATGAATACATGTGGCATGAAATTATAATTTTTTTCCCCTCGGTGTGATCCTGGGAAACAAAACCACACCAAATGCAGATTTTGGTGTAAGAACATCTTTATTGGGTTATGTAAGCATTAATTCCAATTGAGAATCCACATATTTAACCAAGTACGGAAAACTGACGCGAAGAACAACACTGAGCAAAACGGAGGACTATACGATGAAGCGATGAGATTACTGAGCCTTGAATTTGAGAGGTGAATTTTCACAAACAGAAATGGCAGAGCATCGAGGTAATCAGAATTCCAACCTTCTGACACGGAACGTTCACATGTTTTAGAACTTTAGAAATAATATAGAACACAGTCCTGGTACAGTACGGCTTTAGATTATTATCATTATTAATACTATAGACAAAAATAAACAGGATAGAAAAATAAAAACAGATCGAAAAAAGCAATATATTGTTCTCTGGAACCCCAAATTTACACATAAAATAAATCTATCAACCGTAAGAGCAGTTGGCATACGGATAATTAAGTTACCTGGAGAGAAACTCTGTCACAACAGAGAATTTGGTTAAAAGCGCGTTTGTAAAAGTTAAATAACATTAAATTAGCAAAAGGGACTCACTGACTGTATACATCAAAGCCTGCAGAATTATACACACGGTCATGAAGAATAAAGGAACAAAAAGCTTCGAACAGAACATCACTGCTGTTTCCTTGCTGTAGGGAACGCAATATATCGCATGTATCGAGTTTACGACCATTATTTGCGAATGACGACGCACTTTCTGATGACAATTCTAGCTACAGAAATGTTCTCCCTTACAAAAGGCATTAGTTGTTGTTTGTGCTAGTGAGGTGAAAGTACGAAACTGTTCTGTACCACAGAGGAAAGCACACAAGCTTATCGCGTAGTGCATTCAACATGCAGGTCTGCGCAGATGTGCTGCAAACGCTCAGACTGAACGGCACATCTGGATTTGGCCTGTATTTCTGAGAGCACCTTTAAAGTACACAAAATTCACACTAACATCATTCAGAATAACACGGGCACTAGTGATGCGCGGATGGCGGTTATATCCGCGGATCGGGTGGGTCGGCACTAAACAAAAGCATTGACTTTACAACAGCTTCCAATTAGCACCATTGTTACCGAGATAAACCTGCAATGGGTGAATCTCACAAAAAAACTGTCAAGAACACGACTAAGTCATATTTTACCCAAAAATCTAAAGTGATATTTTGTGCTTGAGAGTACCCCCCCCCCAGGGTTGCAAGAAAAGTATCTGAATGTTGAGATAAAAAGTTGCAATTACAATATCTTTTTACATTTTTATTCTGCGACAAAAATTGCGGGATACAAACTCAGAATTCTAACAATTTCATGTTCGCATCTCATAATTTTGACTTTTTAACTCAGAATTTCAAGTTAATATCCTGCCAATTCTGACCTTTTTTTGTCTCAGAAAAGATAAAAAGTCACAATAATTATTTTATTTTTATCGGAAACAAGCTTCCATAAGAAATGCCTTTGTCAAAAAGTTATTTTTATTTTTCTCTTCAATAAAAAAAAAGTTAAATTACAAAAGAAAAATAAATTAAAAGTACATTTTGCATAGTCAAAAGAAAGCCTTGTTGCATTGACACACACACACACACACACACACACACACACACACACATTCACAGTCACTTCCAAAACTCATTTACACAAACACACACACACTTCCCTGTCTGATGGAGTGTTAAAATGATATGTTCGACTGACAACACCCCTGAATAACCTTCCTTAATGAGACACACTTAATAATATAATCAATAATCAATTATTTTTTCTTCATTTTCCTATTGCACTTTAGCATTTCTTTTTTTTTTTTTACATGTGACAAAATTACCATAAAAAAGATCAGTTAAACAATAAGTGTATATGTACATATTATACCTCCCAATGATCTTAATTCATCTCTTCAATAAACTGTTGATTCTTATTATAAAAGTACAAGTATTATAATAACTTATTATTATTATTATTAATTTGAAAGAAAGCAAGCACCAAAGAAACAGGCTGAGAGAGAAAGAGAAGAGGGAAAGACAGAGGGTGTCCCGGATGTTCTGAGTGTTCCTCCCTGCGAGATGATTGGCTTGTTTCTAGAGGAGTCAAATCTGATTGGACATCCGTGGCTGGTAAAGGCGGGATTTCCTTTAGACTGTAGGAGTCTCTAGTGCTAAATCCCCCAATGCCCCGCCCACACCACCTCTTTCTGTTTCTGCAGTCCAATCAGTGGCTGAATGCTGAAGGGGGCAGGCTGTGGGCGGGGCCGGTGTGTGTTTGACGAGTGCACACACACTCACAATCTCACACACACACACTAAAGGAAGCACACAGGTCCGACTTCTACGTGAAAGCGCGATGAGGCCGTTGTCTTTGGTAGGTTGCTTATGCGTACGACAGGAAGTAAGGCGGGGTCCGACACCCGGAACAGGAAGTCAGCATGTTGCCAGCGCCCGTTTAGTTGCTGTGTAATACAAAGCACATGATCAGTGATGTCATGCATAAATACATTTCAGAAATAATTCATGACTAAACCAGTGTTGTTATTGTTAACTACAACAAAACTATTAAAAATGGTTCTTGTTAATGGAAATAAAGCTGAAATAAAATAAAATATAAATATTACATGAAAAATTTTAAATGTTGCCTTGGCAACAAACAGAAATTAATGTTTATGTTGAAGTATTAAAATTACTACAACTGAAATAACAATAAAAATGAATTAAAGTGAAACAGAACTATTAAAAAAAAAAGAATAAATATAACAAAATCCAATAACAAAATTACTAAAACTTTTAAAAATGAAAACAGAAAATATAAAAATAAAAGTTAATTCAAAATATTATTAAATACCATAATATTATATAAGTAATATTGGACTAAACCTGTGCGGCCTTTTTAAATTTAAAATTTAAAGTTAAAATAAATTATGCAAGCAATATATTTAGCTGAGATGTATTTTTATGTTATTTTTTATTATTATTTAATTATTATTTTTTATTATCAAGAACCCTAAATATGGCCTGCAAGTCACATTGTGTGCAACAAAACTTTTTTTGTTTTCAAAAGCAGAGGTTTTCTGCTAAAAATGCCATTCTTATGGAGGAAAGAATTACTGAAAGCACCTAATAATCATGTTTTTAAAAATGCATTACTAAAATTTATTTAAATTAAAATACACATTTAAATGTATAATTTATTTATATTTGGATAATCAGGCAAATAAAAGTAACCGTATAATGTCATTTTTTTTATTTTGATCTTGTTGGATGCCGATCAAAAGATCAGATTATTCATGATTATTTATAACATAACATTTTTTTATATAATTGTTATCATTTGTGATTTTCATTCCTTGTTCCTAGTTCCATATGTTCAAGTCTGTACATTTGCATTTGTTCTTTAATTATGCTTTTCTGTGATACTTTGGCAATAAAAAATAAAAAAGAATTTATAAAAAAAATGTAATAAATAAATAAAAAATTAAATTAAGAATATTATTTTATAAATAATAATACTATTTTATAATATTTTATTTAAAAAAATAATGAAATAAATACATAATATAAAAAATATATAATTCATGAATATCAAAATCCTGCATTTGACATATATAATAAAACTCTGATATACTAATCAGACTCAATTTAACGTGCACCTTGACAGAAACAGTTATGTTTTGGAGACAAGATTTTTTTCTTGCACATGTTGCAAAGTGTGCTGTGGGTGTTTTGAAGTGAAGGTTGCTAAGGTGTTCTGGTTAGTTAGAGAGAGATTTTTGAAAGTAATATTCACCCAGCAGTTGTCTCCTAACACATCCGGCTCCAGCGTCTCTCCGGTCCACGCCTGGAACCGAACTGCATTCTGGGACGGAGGCTCAGAGGGGGCGTGGCTCCAGATTGTCACGTTCAAGCAGTGGATAGTGATTCGTTGCTCCGCTCCGGCGCTCAGCAGCTGCAGGAAGTTCATCTGAACGCGTCCGACACTGAACTCCAGCTGCAACCAGCCAATGAAGCAGCACGATTATAAACAGATTAGGAACTTCTTTTCTAAACATATCACCTCAAGCCACGAGGATATGCATTTATCAAATACGAAATAATGCAGATGATCTGAAAGCTGAACCTTGGCTGTGGTGATGGGCCTGAGGCAGGTGCGTCCGCCGCCGGTGAAATTGCACGTCACTTCTATAGAGTCTGAGGAGCAGCCCAGGTTTGGGTCGATCCAATAAGTGCCTGACAAATGACAAAACACATTGTAGCAAAAACATAACTTGCAATTTGAAACGGTGAAAATGATAAATGCTAAATTATTACATCTATCTACAGATGCCATTGGTGGGATTTAGCACTACAAAGAACCTCAACACACACGCACCATCGTAGAGCGTGTCCCGGCAGCCTTGCAGGTCTTTGCAGAGTCGAGCGGGGTGATCTTGTGTGCCCAGCGGGTTCTTCAGGCTGTGGACCAGAGAGCTCAGGTAATGGAGAGTCCGCAGGATCTCTGGAGCCTGATCCAACATGGGCATGTCCATCAGACCCCGACCCTGAGAGAGCATTGAGACAGCCTTTAAAACACCCTTTACACCGCTAACCACGGGACGTGGTAACCAAAGGTGTGAACAAACCTTCTTCTTGTAATGTTAACAGAATGTTCATTCAGATGTATCTAGGCTTTACTAATGTTCCCAAAACATTAGTACGAAAACATTATTTATACATAGCTCATTGCAATGTTTTATTTCTGAAAGGTTTTAGTTGGACGTTCATATAACATTTTGTTTAGGAATGTTCAGATAACATTTAAAAGTAATATTCCCCTAATGTTTGAAAAAACAAAACAAAAAAATAAAAAGAAATGTTTAAAAAAAATGAAGTAGTAACATTTTCATAACTTAATGGGAACATTGACAAAAACGTTCTTAGAACACTGCAATAGTGTAGTATTTCAAATACACAGTTCATGTCCTTTGTATCTATGTATGTGTGTGTCTGAATGATCTCACCTCTATTTTCTGTGTGTGCATCTCCATAAAAACTGGCTGGGCCAATCCAAGACCAAAATCCTGTTTCTAAAACATACATGCACATGAGCAAACTATAAAAAACACAGATGTACGGAATATAACACTGAAAGTGTGAATGAATTAATAAAAACAAAAGAATCAATGAATAAATAAATAAATAATCAACAAATAAATAAATAAACAACTACATAAATAAATAAAGTTAGTGAAAATTCTCACCAAAGCCAGTGGGATTCGCGGTGGACCCTGTAGAAAAAGAAATAATAAAACAATTGCTCATAACCATCATGATGAATTCTACTGACATTTTTTAAACAAAGTAGAGATAAGTGTGTATGTGTGTGTGGGGTTAGTATGGTTTAGGAACAATATGTGTGTTTCTGAGAGAGTCTATTAAAAGAAAGAAGTGTGTGTTTATACCGGAGGTCCAGGACGTCCACGCGGTCCAGGAGCACCCTGGAAAAACACACAAATAAACAAGTTAGAAACAAACAAGTGGCCTTAAAATAAACCCAAGCAGCTGATGATGGGAAATGCTGTGTCTGTGACTGTAGACTCACTCGAGGTCCCTGAACACCCTGTGTGAAAAAAAGAATGTGCTTATGAGAAACCTGTAAGATTTCCTGCGACATCAAGATCTGAAGAGAAAGAATAAATCATGTCTCACCATCTCTCCTTTGCTGCCAGTGTCTCCTCTCGGGCCCTACAGAGATGTCAGTGTGAGAGCAGAGGTCAGCTGAGGGTCAGACAGCAGGTATGAACACACTCACGGTTCACTATAGCTGTGTGAAGAAGTGACTTATACTCACTGGACTACCGATAGGGCCAATCACACCGACAGGTCCAGCTAAACCCCCTCTACCCTGAAACCAACATGGAAATATTACAACAAAAACACTATAAAATCTGCCAAAATTGGCAGACTAGTTCTTTGTGCATACTTACTTATGTATGATAGATAGATAGATAGATAGAGTTGGTGTAGGGCGATAGAATATATGGTTTGTACAGTATAAAAACCATTATGCCTATGGAGAGTCTTTACAAGGATAGCAAACCAGACGTGTGTGTGTGTGTGTGTGTGTGTGTGTGTGTGTGTGTGTGTGTGAGAGAGAGAGAGTGTGGATATGTGTGTGTGTGAGAGAGAGAGTGTGCATGTGTGTGTGTGTGTGTGTGAGAGAGTGAGAGAGAGTGTGTGTGTGTGTGTGTGGT